CAGGCGAATGGGAAATGGAAAAAATAAAGAAGTTTGTTGAAAATTCCACGATTCCTTTGCCGACTAATTGGTCTAGTACATGGCAAGATGAAATTCGTAAAAATTATCTTACTATCAATGTTGTACGCGAAACGAGTATTGTCGAAAATAGTACACAATCAGCGACCATGGGTGTAGTTGATGTTTTTTCAAATGTTGGTGGCCAAACTGGCCTATGGATTGGTATTAGTCTTCTTTCAATCATGGAGCTAATAGAAATGCTATATCGGTTGATTCGAAACGAATTTCATATTATTCGAAGAAAGATACAAGTTAATAGACAATAAACTTTGCCTCATCTCTCATTGATAAGACAAATAAATCAAGCATTTAATTTGTTATCATGCCTGTGAGATATGATGATCTCATGGGATTCCATTTTGTCGATCATGCATGTTTCCCAATCCATCAAAACATTATATTCGAGCGGAAATAAACCATTTACTTGAATAGTAAACACTTTCGTATTGATAGTTCTTGATGAAGAATATTCAAAAACGAAATGCCAATTGAAAATTTGCCTCGAGAATCAAGCTGATTCCATTAGTTCAACAATATATGAAGTTAAGAATTTATGATTAGTGTAGAGATAGAATATTGAAATCGAGCTTCCATTCGAAACATCTTGAGAACAAAACCTACTCAAGACATTTCGATGTCAAATATCACAGCTTGTTTTAATAAATTGAGCACAGTTATCTGGATTGATAAACAATTCCTCGTTGAAAAAAGGTCTGCGCAACAACAATGACCAGCAATGGAACCCGAACAAAAAAAACTTCGATATTTGACGATCATCGAAATCAATAGAGACCAAGTAAAAGACGAATGATTCGAGAGTTTCATTCAAATCAACGTCAAAAATTTATTGCTCGATGTTATTTTCATAGAAATTCTCAGAATATGAGTGTGGATATCGGTGACAATGCGTTGTAGTATCAACATGAAAACATTCACCTGACTTTATTCAATAAAAGATAGAAAAATGTATCACATGTATAACACAAACATAGCAGTACATGTATCATAATAATCTTTAAATATATCAGCAACGTCCAATTATGCTTGATTATTGGCAAGTTTATGACAACCAAAGTCAATCGTTTCTTGTTCTGAGAATTTCATATTAACTAAAATATCTCTTAAAAAGTGTACATACATGAATTCAGCTTCTTGTCGTTTAATAGTGTCAGTCAATGGTGATAACGACAATCGAATAGTGTTACCGATAGCAAAAGTAGAACTATTTCATATATATGACAATAAGTTATTAATTAAGTCATCACCTAAAACTCCTTGTCTACGATTTCGTTTTATATTTGATAGTTGACGTAATTGATTACACTGCCCTTTCAAATCCGTGTAAATTTCGTGTATTTTTCTCAGGTTGCCGAAGGTTTCATAATTTGTTTCGTTTGAATACAAAATATAGACTGTATCAATAGTTGTAAGTTCTTCAATTAGTTTCACAAATGCATCAAGATATGAGTTACTGAAGATTATCAGAATTACTTTATCCTCGCCGTCTTGAATTTTCGTAGTGCACTCAATACACCATTTTCGGCGACCGGAATGATTGTCTTGGGCACTCTTTTCAAGAAGATAAAGAATAGAAAAAACAAGTGCGAGAAAAACTTTTTGGTGTGTTCCGATTGGGCTGCAGTGGGGACTCACATACGACGTATAAGCTAGCAGACAATTTAGTACACGTTGCTTTTTGTTTTGTGCAATGCAATATAATTTTAGATTTAGAACACATGAAGTGAATGAATGAAAGATTTACCTTAGTCGAACATTTTTACGCAAGATCTTGACAAGAAAAGTTCTTTTTTCTAAAAAAATATATCTGGATATTTGGGTGTGGGTGGGTGTTAGTACAGGTGTGAATAAAAGAAATCAATACGCCCTCACCCACACCCAGCCACCCCACACCCACTTGTCATGGATGATTATTATTACATGTGACGAAGTTTCAAATTTGCCGGAAGTTTGAGCGAATCTATTCTGTATCAGCTAGTCTCTAGATGCAGTTTTTGTGTAAAGGCTCAGAGCAGCGAAGGTTTTATCTTTCTGTAACACCACAGGGAATATAAATATAAATATTGATTATTCTGACGTGAATATGGGGTTGGTTGTCACTCCTGGAATCGTAAGATATTTTGAATTACGCATCTCTCTGATTGGCTTCATTTCCTATCTGAGGCTTAACTGTTACTTTCATCAAATGAGGTGAATGAATAGGTACATTGCACGGCTATTCAGATCAGGTGATGCGCTTCTCTTGATTTTTGAAGTTAAACGATCTGTAGGCTTGTTCAAAATCACTAAATATGCAAAGATGAGTCTATATCCAGTTTATTCATGTTAGAAATTTTCAAAAAGAAAAATTTATTAATGGTCTTTGATCCCTTAGCACTTGATGATGTTTTTCATCACTCGAGGAAATATTGAGCTTTGAGTTGATCGACAGTTGCACTGGCATAAAGTTTCTTCCATTCTATGATAGTATTATCATAGTTTTCTTTGGAAGCTTTGTATTGGGCACCTTTGACCGAGGATAAAGCATCATCAGCATTGGGCTCTCTAAGCAAACGAATTATTTCCATCAAAACATTGTACATGGATGTTTTTTGTGACCAAGCCGTATTCAATACATCGTGACAAATTTTTCCATCATCATTTATATTACAATGATAGATTTTTGTGACGAATCTAATTTCTGGTGGCTGCTCGGGATAAGATGGTGGAAATTCAATAAACAATAACCAACAGCCATCAGAGTACGGTGTGCCCGTTTCTCCGTGCATAATCAATTTCCAGAATGCGATGTTTTCTTTGGAAATGAATAGATCGAAGTTTTTCAACTCTTTTCTATTCAAATAGTTGATCTCAAGCATGATTCGTCTCACTGATGTGTTCGACAAACGTCCATCACCAATCCTTGCCTGTTTCGATGCAATCGCTGGTTTATCTAAAAATTTCGGTTGACGATGTTGAGGACTTCTCACTTTTCCATAGACGTTTTCTTCTCGATCTTGAAGAGATATGGCTGCTTCTAATTCGAATAAATTTAACATCGACTCTTGATCATGAGGAATATCGGTATAGTAATAACCTTTGGTTTTTTCACAAAAGTCAACCAAAACATAATTTGTTGATGAATCAAAGCTAATTGTATCGAACACAATCTGATTGCTCAATAATTTTTCTAAAACGTCTTCTGCTGACGCTTTGCTACATGTGTCAGTACCATCGGTCAAACAAAGAATCATTTTTTTACATGTTGGACTCAGTCTGGTTTGTGAATTGGTTTGGAACGATTGAATCTTTTGTACCGCCATATCAATAGCGTCGTATAAAGGTGTATCAAAACCGCATTCAGGACGGTTCGCCAAGGCTTTATCAAAATTGGTGAAATCACGTGTGATATCACATTGGACGACAACTCGAATATCCGATGATTGTATTCTCAGGATTTGTCTCAGATTTAATCCACGATTTCTCAAGACATTTTCTGGTGCTTCATCATCTGCACCGAAATAAATTAAACCAAGAGCATGCGCTAATCTGTAAGAAACCAAACGATCGCGCCAAGCACCAAAAGCCATGGTACTCAATTCTAACAGTGTATGTTTATTATCCTCGCTACCGACCATCACATGCATTGATCCACTGATATCGAAAAGTATACATGTAATCTGTTCGATTTTTCTAATATCACTTGCGTTTTCTCGAACGATAAGGTGTCCTCGCTGGGTGAGCTTGTCGATTGATGCCGCTTCGTTCTTCTTGAAGGTGTACGTAGCGTTTGACGCATCAAAACATTGAAATGAATCATCGCTATTTTTCAGCGCACTGGTTACGTAGACAATGTTCCCAGATTCCAGTAGCACGAACTGTGCATGACTATGTTTCGATAATGTCGATTGGTGAGCAAAAGTGAAGATGCTGAACAGGTCGTTAGTAGATAATGCATGCTTGATTTCGTTCATGTCGTTCTCGTTCAGCCGTTTGAGATTATTTCTTTGTTCGGTAACATTCCCGATACGAAATAGATTTGTTTCAGTATTCGGGATCCATATCGTATAATCTGTTGAATATTTTTCAAATACATCGACTTGTGCTAATTCTTCGTCTTCTCTTTCAGTTTTACCGGTCTCTCTCAAAAGCAATAATAATCCAACAAGATCTGTTTGTCGTTGGTAGTCGTTCTTTCCCAGACTGTGTACTTTTATGGCTTCTTCGTGTTCCATCAACACCAGTCGTTCAGCTGTCCCTCTAGTCACTTTTTCATTAAGCAATCTCACAGGATTAACAAGATACTTTTGAGATCTATCCTCATCTTGATTGTTTTCGCACGATGGGTTTTTGAAACGATTTATAAACTCTGCAACTTCATAGCAAGCACTTTCGGTTGACGTACTATCTCCATTGCGAAATATCCAACAGAAAACGTATGGCGTGTAGGCAAACAGTTCATTAGCAGGAATCTGTTCCGGTAAAAGATTGCGGAATAGATAAAACAGAGCTTCACTTAGTAATGACTTTTCGAAATTAAATAATGCACCTTCCATGGCGTGCTTGAACGCGAGACAAGCTGGTGGATATAAGTAACGACGAAGAATTATGAGAAACTGCGGCAAATAAACATTGTGAACACTGTCAAAATCGGCATCTTTCTTGGTTAAGAATACTCGTATCAATGCGTACATACTATTCAGATAGATCATCATGGCTTCGTCGCTTTGTTGTTTGGACTTTGGTTGCCATAAATCGCTTTTGACAAAGATTTCCTTCAGGTTTTTCACGTACTCATAAGTTCGTGTTTCAACTTTACGGTCACAATTAAATAAATAGAAATGTGGAAGGCTTTCATCATCAATAGTGGTTAACGGTAAGAAATCGACCAATCGTTCTGCTAAAAAGTCTTTTGTTCTGAATATATGCATACGGTGATTGAACAGGAGAGGATAAGTTGTTGTGCAATCGATATTTTCTTGTATCTTGTTATAAAAATCTTGCAAAGTCGACTCGCTGTTCAACATAAATTGATAGATGCCACCATCGACTGTTTGAATTTTAATCGGATAACTATCGTCCTGAGTGTCCAACTTCAAGATCAGTTGAGAACCTTCTTGAATTCCAAGATTTTTAAGTGTAGAGTCTGTAGACAATTCTTCGTCTCCTTCAAGTAAGTTCAATTTCGCATCTGAGCTTATGTTGAATTCTTTACGTAGAACATTTAGGAACTCTATGATTGTGTTTTCTGGATAAGAGAAGCGCTTAATCTTCCCATTGAAGGTGACTTTAACAACGGACATGGTGAGAGTACGTCAATCAATCTTCTCTAGAAGAAGCTCGATCGATTAGAACTGAAAATCTTCGAAAAAGAATGGACTGCAGTTGGATTTTTCTTTGTGTTGTAGAAAAAAGACTTCGGCGTAGCCCCCACAAGAAGTTTAAGATCACGTTGGAAGATTCGAGGCGCGTTCGATTCTAAAAGAAAAGATCAACCATACGGTTCGATTAGACATAAATACTCGAGTAAAAAAAATCTATGCTTGGTATTGACCAAGAAAAACAAGTAGGGTGTGGATGTTGATGTGGGTTTGAGTGCGGGTGTGAGTGCAGAGTTGGTTGTAGATGTTTTTTACGATGCAGCCACAACTAGACTCCCATCTATACGCCCACTGCGCACCCATATCCCCATTCAAATAACTTTCAGTAATTGAGGGTGTTTCCACGAGAAAGAGAGCCTATGGTTTATGATAGTTTTTGCGGTAGTAAGTCACTTCTAATCCAATAGATTTATGGCGTTCTAGAAGAATTAATCTATACTCTGAAAGCCTTTGCATTTTTTGAGATATTACTCAGAAAATAAAAAGACATGCACGGGATTTTAATAGGAATTACAAATGGTGCACGTTGATAGTCCTCAATAAGCATATCGACTGACTATTGGTCACTATATAGACTAGATTTGTTTCAAATGAATGTATGACCCTAGGTTCATGGTCAGCATCAAAACCTGAGTACTAAAATGTTATTTAGTTGAATACAGGGTGTCCCAAAAGTTCCCGAAAAAAGTAAATTTCAATATCTGTATTATTTATCAAGCTTAATCAACTTTTTTTTTCAAATTGTAGGTATCCATGTGAGGTTTTTTTTATATGAACAAGGTTCACAAATACTGTTCAAAGTTATTAGTTTCGGCTGATGTACAAAAAGCATCCGTTTTTCAGTTTTCAAAAAATTGCTAGGCAGTGTTCCTCTTAATGCTTTAGTTCCTTGCATTTCGTGCGACGTTTAGACCGACTAGATCCTTCTCTATCACTTCTGTGTATTTCTTTTGGTATGTCACCACAAAAAGAAGCCTAGCGATGTCAAGTCCGACAATCACCAAGCTCGAAAGATCGATTCAATTCTTCCAATTCATGAGTCATCATTCGCAGACAAAGTGGTTTCATGAGCTTCGTGAATGTCAAACTCGACACCACTAGACTTCTTTTTGTGGTGACATATCAAAAGAAATACACAGAAGTGATAGCGAAGAATTCGGTCGATCTAAACGTCGCACGACATACAAGGATCTAAAGCATTAAGAGGAACACTGCCTAGTGATTTTTTGAAAACTGAAAAATGGGTGCTTTTTGTACACTAGCCAAAACTAATAACTTTGAACAGTATTTGTGAACCTTGTCAGTATCAAAAAAACAACCTCACATCGTTACCTATCATTTGCAAGAAAAAAGTTGATTAAGCTCGATAAATAATGGAGATATTCAAATTTACTTTTTTCGGAAACTTTTGGGACACCTTGTATTTGCTTCATAAAATGGAAAAAATATGATCAAGTGGGGATAGTCTGAATTTATCTCAGAGAATATATGTATAGCCGTTGTGACCTACGCATCTAGTTTTTCATAAAGAGAAATGAGATGAAGTATCTTATCTCATTCCGGATCATCAAAATCCACGATTTAAAAGCAGTTTTTAAAAACTTATTTGATGTTGCTTTTATGTTGAAAAAACTGAGTGTTTTCCCAGACTAGTACCAAAGCCTTTTAAAACTGTAAATAAAACGTTCTCCTCTAGTAATTTGCATTATTATAGTTCATTACTAGAGCAAAACGTATTTTTACGAAAAACCGTTATTTTTTTCCTAAAAATATGCGGAGACTAACGTAAGTACAGATGAGTTTTTCATAAAAAATGAATGTTGCTAGAATATATT